AGAAAATGCTGGTATGACTTGTCATTTCTGCTAATGAATATTAATTTTTAGGAAAACTTGAATAACTTATTATTTAAAAAAAAGAAGAATGAAGACTGATCCATTGCCAGCTGTTTTTAATTAGCTCTAGCAATTCTCAACTGTTTTTATTATTTTTTCATCTCTAGTTAAAAGAATTAGAAAGAGTTGGACTTAAGAATGGAATCCAGGTTCAAGTTCGAGTGGAAGAGGGTCTGGTGTTAATGCATGGCTTCAATGCCTCTGGGATGCTTGCAGTTCAGAGGTGTTTGCAAAAGTTTGTGGTTGAAGCGGTTGATTCCCACCACAAGTCACTTCACAAGGCTATGGTTTCGGCCATAGATTGGGAGTATAAGAAGGGGGACAGATGGCATAAATTTGAACCACTGTAAGTACCTGTCTTATATTAATTATATTTTAATAAACCTTCTTGTTTAGACTTCATTTCTGAGATTTTTACAAGCTGTTGAATGCTTCGCTTTTCCAAATTTATTCATTTTACATACACATAAATTTAATAAACTGAGAGAAATAGGTCAAACTCAATAAAGTTTATATCAGCAGACAATGTTGAATGAGAGAAATAGGTCAAACTCAATAAAGTTTATATCAGCAGACAATGTTAAACTGAGAGAAATAGGTCAAACTCAATAAAGTTTATATCAGCAGACAATGTTAAATGAGAGAAATAGGTCAAACTCAATAAAGTTTATGTCAGCAGACAATGTTAAATGAGAGAAACGGGTCCAACTCAGCAGACAATGTTTTCAGGAACTTATCTTTGCCTAAGAAAACCCCATTGTAGAATTCAATTCAATTTATTATTTTTTTTTTAAATTTCCTTTCACCAAAAAATTGACTTTAATTTTCATCTCTGTCAGCTTAAATAGTGAGCTGGAGAAGGAATTCAAAAATAAATCTAGCCAGCATGAGCTCACAGATGCCAAAGGACGCAAATATATTATTGACTTCAAGGAGATGAAGGAAACTTTAGTTAATGACAGAGGCAGCAAGAGATGTGTCTATGACATTCAGAGGAGGGACAAGACAAAAGGTGACTGAACATGGAGTTTATTTCATATTTGGAAATCTTGATACCTCTTTTTAGTATGTGTTAATTCTAATTCCTATATAACAATCTATTATTTTTTTAAAGACCAAAATTGATCATGAATGTAATTAGCATTTTTGAAGTTATTGACTTTTTACCATTCTTCAACATCAGGAGTGTCCATTTCTGTAAATGAGCATTATCTGGGCCTTCTTTGAATTTATGAAATTGTCTTGTGCCTCATTGACGCATTTGACTGGCAGAATCATCTCTTCAAGATGTTGATTGTCTTGTCATGAGGACAGTATCAGCACATCTAATTTTCATGGGTTCATTTGAACTCTTGTGTATGCATAGCTTATATCTCCCCAAAAATTTGCATAATGTTTCTACTTATATCTTTGAACAATACTGGCAAAAAGATGTACCCCTTTGAACCAGTCAGAATTTTTGTCACTGCGCAAAGCTAACTCTTGCTCCTATAGAACATCTTGATGAGCAATAAAAGATTGTGGGGAAAGTCCATGCTGTTAATGTTTCATAATTTCTGAAGAATAACACACGTGAAAAAAATGAAAACTGCTAAAACAGGTTATGGCTTTGTTGAATTCTCTGCATTTCTCTACATAGGTATGATCTTGATAATGTGGTCCCTGGTGTCTCTTATCTTACGCCTGCCAGGCTATATTGCTTTCTCTCTCTCTCCAATCACAGCTTCATTCTTTTCACGATTATTTTAAGGAGTATCTTTTTAGTTATTAGCTCTACTCTCTTGTTTGGGTATATATGAAATAAGTTTGAAATTATCTAAATGTTCAGAGGGTGAACCTGTGCCAAGGAAATGGGATCCCATGTCTGAATCAGAAAACTTGAAAATAGTTCTTGTCAAACCTGGGAGTCAGGAATACAAGACAGTGGAGCAGCATTTTATAAATGGCGGAGCTCAAGTGCCAATAAAGAAGGTAACCAAATATAGAAATCGGTAACCAGATGTACAAAAAGGTTTATAAATTTGCTTACAATGACGGCACAATCTCTTTGAAATAAGTAAGAATTAGCCGCAAGACCTTGCATGTATTTATTTGATCCACCCAAAATATAGTAGCAGTTTCTGACAAGAATGAGCTATTGTGATCAGGTTAAGATTGAAAAAGACCTAATTTTCATGGTTTCAATTTGCCATATACAATAGAAATGAATAGAAAATTGGCCAGCTACTGGTAATAACCATAGACCAAAAACTCTGGTTTGATTTGCTTCATTTTCCTTGCCTATTAAGAATACTAAATTCTTTGTGATTTTGATATGATATGTGACATGATATGTGAAAGCCCAAAAAAATGCCAAAAGATAATGATAATTTTTTAATGAAAACCTTTGTCAGCAAAGTTAATAAAGACAATAAAGAACAATTTCACAAGTTATCTTAGCGGTGATTTTTTTCTCAGTCTTTTCAAATTGGAAGACTTAATATTTGCTTTCTACATTTTTACTCTTTCTTTTAAAATAATTCACATTTCATGTTATCCGCTAGATTGAGCGCATCCAAAATAAAACCCTTTACAAACAGTATTCTGTGAGAAAACGTGACCTGGATATACATAACCCTAAAGGTCACAAGAATGAACTAAAGTTGTTCCACGGAACCAGTGCTGCTCCAGTGCCACAAATTAATGAGAACGGCTTTAATCGCAGCTACTGTGGTGTTAATGGTAGGTCATTCAATTTAGATCTCTAAGAGCAATAATGTAGTTCTTCACCAGGGGTGTAACAATAAAGAGGCTGTACACCATTGGTCTATGATAAACCAAATACAAGCTTTTCTACTTTGCACTGTCTGGAAAGTACATGTCAAAACTAGCAAACTACCTACTGGCTCCTTTTGATAATATCTCTTTAAATATTATGTGTAAAACATCCATTGTACTTACCTGTGTCTAACCTAGATATAGCAGTAGGCTTAGGCCCACATGTTCTAGACATGCATGCAGGAGTTGATCTCAACACATGCTTTACTTAATTTTTCATTCATAGGTTTTCCCAGCTTTGGAATCAAAGTTGAGAAGTGTAATTGTTTTAAAGTTGGCTAGGCAACATTATGAATTGACTCTACATTTTGTCCTCAATAAGAATTGCAGACAACATTAAGATATCAATCATGTCTTGCAGGCGTAGCATATGGCAACGGTGTGTACTTCCACATGAGGTCATCTTACTCAGTCAGCTATGCCAAACCAGATTCACAGGGAAACAGGCACATGTACCAGGCCAAAGTTCTGGTTGGAGAGTCCACTCCATGTCATTCAGGAATGAGTGTTCTGCCCAACAAGCCAGGCACTAACAGAACCTATGACTCTGGAAATTCTGGAGAAATTTATGTTATATTCCATGATGCCAATGCATACCCAGAGTACCTGATTACCTTTTGAAGGATAATATATTAGAGACTGTGTTCTAGGGTAGACACTTGACTTATTTATTTATTTATTTATTTAGGCATTTTTATATAGCGCTTATCATAAAGCTCTAAGCGCTTTACAATTATTAAAACATGTAAACTAAGTAAATACAAATGAGACACTAGGATAGTAACTACTATTCTATAGAAACAATGAAAATGGCTATAAAAAGAGGACACTTTGACACTTCAGGATTAAACCGAAACAGAAAATTATCATGGTTTCCAATGCTTATTGAAAGCGCTGACATTGTTTAGTATTCTAAATTTTATTTAACAATGTTTAAATTATTATTTGATTTTCATGCTATAAAAATAATGTAAATACAAAACTGTTTTTATTAAGTAAATTTATAAAGTATATCATAACATTGTTTTAAGTTTTGTTAAAAATGAATACATGAATACATAAAAGCTTGCCTTCCTTTGTCACAAACAGTTTTTCTAACATTTACAATTTTGAATCATAGGTTTGATTTTGTACAAAAAGAGTGGGATCTTTCCATTTATGATGAATAAATAATATAAATAACACCATTGAAAAAATGCACATTTTAATATTAAACACCAGACACTAAATATACTCTATCAAGAAGAAAAAAGATGCATATTTAGATTACATGGTACAAAAGCTTCTAATAAATATGGACTTCCATGAAACTTAATACAAGAAGGACTTAGTTAAATTGAACTGTTAGAGATTGGAACTTTTTCCTGCAACACAAAAAAAAAATTTAAAAAAGTGATCTCCATAAAGTGATGACTAAACATGCAACTGGAATGCAGTTCTGTCATTTACTACATTCTAATGTTCATTTTATCTCAGAGCCGACTGTTTTATTTTAAAATTTAAAAAAAAAAAAATGTAAATTTTTGTACCATGTTAAATCCTTACCTAGTTCCTACCTTTTACACTCATTTAACTTGCACCACCATGTTTATTTCTTTATTATTCTTATTGCAAACACCATGTTATTAGAAATATTGTAATTCATAGATTATGTTGTTGAAGTCTTGTTTTCTCATTTGCCTCGGACTCACTTATGAATATCATTCCTTTCATGAACATTTTCAACACTGTCTAATCTTGTGCTGTCTGAGGACCAGAATCATGTATTTTATCCAAGAGATTTGTTGAAGTCTTGTTTTCTCATTTGCCTCGGACTCACTTATGAATATCATTCCTTTCATGAACATTTTCAACACTGTCTAATCTTGTGCTGTCTGAGGACCAGAATCATGTATTTTATCCAAGAGAAAATTGCTAGAGTGTTTTAGGCTGGGGTACTGCGCTATATAAAACCACCAAATAATAATAATAATTATAGAAATTAATTAAAATAATAAAGAATTATATCGAATGTATCACAAATTTCAAAGGTTATTTAACTATTCAATTATAAAATACATTGATAACTTTTATGATAAACCATATAATAAAATACAAAATAATTTTGGTTAGTGAATGTGTTTAAGAAATCAATGCCTTTATTTATGCAGTGATGTATTTATATTGATCTACAAAAATTACTGAAGTAATTAGAACATTTATATATATGTTTAACAAACACTTATAATAATATTATTGATGTACATTGTATTTTTATTATATTGTTAGCTATAGTTTCTACCTACAATGTAATGAATTTAATTCTGCGTAGCACATTTCTGATTCAAAATGTAAAAAAAAAATGCTTAAAGTCATTGACTGATATCTAAAAAAAAAATGTGTTTGTGTGTGTTATTGTCTTTAAGGACTCTGATGATTAACCTCCAGGAAAATTTACTTGTTATTTACCTTGATTCTCTGGCTGTTGAGCTATCAGTGGGAGGGCGTCAGCTCTCAGTGGGAGGGTGTCAACTCTCAGAGGGAGGGCGTCAGCTCTCAGAGGGAGGGCGTCAGCTCTCAGTGGGAGGGCGTCAGCTCTCAGTGGGAGGGCATCAGCTCTCAGTGGGAGGTCGTCAGCTCTCAGAGGGAGGGCGTCAGCTCTCAGTGGGAGGGCGTCAGCTCTCAGTGGGAGGGCGTCACTCTCTGAGGGAGGGCGTCAGCTCTCAGTGGGAGGGCATCAGCTCTCAGAGGGAGGGCGTCAGCTGCTTAAAACCATGAAGATGTTTTTAACTAATAAATAACGGCAGTGGTGGAATCCACTGCACTGCTGTAGGCCAAAGAGTGACTCGGGAGCGTGTGTCTGGGTGCACTCTCCTCCTCAATATTTTTATGATTTATTGCTTTCATGTAACATTTATATATTTAAATACATTTCAATATTTTTTGATGAGAGAAACATTCATAACAACACATTGATTGATGTAAATATTAATTCCAATAAATACACATTGATTAATTAAAATTATTTTTTTTAAAGTGTTTTTGTTGGGGAGGAAGCTTGTCAATAGATAGTTAAGTAAATGAGATTAACAATAATAAATTGTAATGATACTATTAAGTTGATATAAGAATAATAAAGCAAATATACAGAAATAAAAACTATATTAATTTTTAGCACTGCAAATGAAAAAGTATAATAGATTGGTGCTAATTTAATCCATACAGTGTAAAATCTAGTTCGTCTTGTAGGGCTGCTGTAAGTGTCGTAAGGGTCTTGTGTCTAGGAAATCTCACCCAGCTGGGAAAGCTGCAGTCTTACTCATAGGGAGTGAGTAAGAACCCTCCAGAATATAAAAAACTAAGGGGTGGGGGATAAGTGGTGGACTTTACAGCTCTACGTTAATTTATAAATTAAACACATAATTAAAATGTACACCTATATAATATATTTTTTACATTTAAAATGAACTGCCAACATATTTATATTAAATTAGCTTCTGACATATACCGAATGATTCATTAATATAATTTTATGTTGCTGTAGTGTAGTCAGAGTGTTGCTGTAGTGTAGTCAGAGTGTAGCTGTAGTGTAGTCAGAGTGTAGTTGTAGTGTAGTCAGAGTGTAGCTGTAGTGTAGTCAGAGTGTAGCTGTAGGGTAGTCAAAGTGTAGTAACAATAAGAAACTCGTCTGACCACCGTAAATAATATTCAAATTTTAAAATGAAAATTCAAATAAGACACGCCACGCTCATATTTTTAAATTCTCAAGCGATCTCTCAATTTGTCCGGCGACCCCAGAGAGGGCCGTGAGCATACGTTGAGAACCAACATAACAAACTTGCGTTAATGTTGTTGGTCACAGGTTGGTAACAGGTTTCATTTTTACGATATAAACGTACGTATATTATTTAATTTTAAAAAATGTAAATTATAATTCCATTTATTGTTCCTCCTTCGCATGTTACGATGAACAATTAAGACTTCAACTTGAGTAGGAGCTATAGATTGTTTAAAAATAAGGGAGAGTTTCTCAAATCGCCAGACTTACTCTCTCGTCCTTGCCTATTTGTTCCAATGGCAAGACATAGTCAACACGACTGGAAACAGACAAGGATGCCGTAGACGACCAGAAGTGTGCCTGGTGTCTAACTGTGCACTCTACGCCTCCCACGTCTTAGTAGTGGTCAGAATGTTCAATGTGTTCATGTCATACCGCCTATGGGACTCCATCTCCGGGTTTTATTTCAGAGTTGGCCTTCTCTTAGGTGAGTTGCCACCCAAGGTTAACGAGTGCCATCCATCCGGGTGCTGATGTTGATTTTTGCTTGTTTAGGCTTTTTCCGGGGATTGTACTCCAGCCCCCATAAATATGTAGATCAGATCAATCATCAAATGATACTATCGTAGCCTTCCTTCAGTTCAATCAATTGACTCACTTGTTAAATGATTGTTCAGTTGCATTACTACTCAGTCTCATTGGCCAGTTAGCATATTAAATGAAATATTCATTGCAATTAGAAATGGCCATGGGCGTAACCAAAGATATGCATCTCGCAAAGACTAATTATTACAAACAATTCGCAGCAGTGCATTGTTATTTTCAGAGCTTCGCAGTTTCATTCAGCTCACATTTAGTTTTGCATTAATCGCTAGTCAGTTTTCTAGTATTATTTGTTTAATTCAGGTATAATTTACAAATTTTTTAAAATTTAAAACGCGTATTATAGTATAGTGTTTCTATAAATGCTCTTTATTTTTTCCCCAATTTGGCGGAAAACATCATAGAAAATGAAAAGATAACTCTTTTGTTAAAAAATACCCGGACCTGGTTCCATTTTTACCGGATCCGGGTATGTGCCGGGTCAGTACCCGGCTCAACCCTTATTCATAGGCCTAAATAATTTGTAATAAAATAGTTGTCACTTTTATGGCTGTAAAAATCCGTATAATTTTGAAGGGTATAGAGTGTAGAGTAGGCCTACTGTAGAGCAGCACCGAATGCGTTATTGGACCTAAGAAATTACCATTTACCTTTCAACAAAATACAATAAAATAAATGTGGCCTTTCCGAGCGGCTGCGAAAAGACAGATCGAAGTGATGGCAATTATTGCACTAAGAGAACATTCTCTCAGCGCTGATTGGTTAGACTAGACAAGGATGACGCCCATCGGTTCAGTGGTGATATTCTTATGGCCACGGTACATTCATCAATTACAAAGCTTAATTTAAAAATATTAACATTTGACTTAACGGGAAGATAAATTTACTAACTTTAATTTTAAAAAAAACCCCACAACTTATCGATTCTTTAATAAACCCTGCAATGGTAGTAATGACTCTTGTCTAATCTCTAATTATTTATTTTTTAAAAAGAATTTTCAAGAACGTAAATGTAATAACTTTTCTTATTTGACGATTCCTACAACTAAAGCATAAAAAGTATCATATTTGTGGCAGTGTATGCCCCAACCCACTATTTGACCCGTTACGTAAACCATGTCTGGCGCCCAACTCAAGGCCGCGCGGTGTGTAGTAGCACTGGCGCGGTGCGTAACAGGTATCCCTTTTCACCCCCCCCCCTCCACCCGGACGGTCACTATACGGCCGGCGCATAGGGAGGAAATAATAAAATACCACGATGTGCGCATTGGTTAGAAATTCAATAATTTATTTATCAGGAACCCTAGCGTATTAAGTTATACATTACATCTAGTTAAGACGGGGATTTTATTCACTATACCTTAGCATATTTACAAGTTTCCATCGTTGGAGGATATTTTAATATTTAGTCATTAAAGGAGTTTTCGCCTTCATTTATAGTGGTCTCCACCCCTTCTAGTTAAAATATCTCAAAAACTATTTAAGTCATAAAAATATAAAATAGCATCTTAGATAGCTAAGACAAGACTGCACAGATTACATATAAGTCGTTAGGGATGTGGATAAAGATTTTAATTATTACTCGGGATTAGTCCCCAGAATTAGTCATTTTACCCCAGGAAACTGGCCAGAAGGCAAAACTTAGACCGACTCGGTTTAGGTGTGACGTAGGGGCTCTCTGATATGTCCGCGCACGGTTTTAAAAAGGGGAGCACACGAGGTAGGGGTCATTTCGAGCTTTGGTCAGCATACCTGCAGTGTGCCTTTGTTCAGTGCGGCCCATTGGAACGCTCTGTAAGTAGAGGCAATTACGCCATTTTTATTTCTTTGTGGTTAGTAGGAACTTGTTGAGTGTTAGCATTGGAAGATTTCTGTTCAGACTTATAACCAGGATAGAGTGTAGGATAACCTACAGCGTGTAGACTTATGCTCATGCTATTTTAAAGGTTAACATACAACCGTTAAATAAATTATTTAATAGGATTAATAAATAGATACCAGTGACCAGGGTTTGTGCGTAACAAACAACTGCATATCGTTCTGGGTACACATACTGCAATGCGCTTATAAAATAAGCTATTGATACAACAGTATACAACCAGCGAGTGTCCGTCAAATATGTGTAATAGGCTAACTTTCCTGCCTTGTGCTAAATTCTCACATAGGAAATAGTGCATGTGAGGATCACATCCCATATAATTTAACTATGATTCATTCTGCAATCTGCTGTTTTCTTAACAAGACACAGCGATGGACAGATACAAGTATCAAGCCAACGGTAGTCATTTACTGTCCCGCTATGTGTGCCTCTTACATAGACACCATACCTGGATGGCATACTATTATAACTTCAAGATCTTTAAAGTTTACGTTAGCCCTCACATCGCACTCTGGTTCTGTGTGTAGCATTAACACTGTGCACGTGTTTCAAATTAAACACTGCACGTGGTTTCTTTTATAGTTAAAACATTCGTAGTACAAGATAATTATCTTTGCCCTGTGTATGAACCAATACTACTTACGTATCACTTATCATGCTTTCTAGTTAAGTATATGTTGTCGCCACGTGTAATTACGTGGTTATGTAACATGTTTATTATTAGCTATGTTAGTCAGGACATTGTTAACCTGTACTATTTGTTTATTTTCAGATATTGTCCTTTTTCTTTCTCTTTTTCTTTCTCTTCTTCTTTCCCTTTTTCTTGTTTTCCTCATAGTAGAACATTAATAAAGCTATAGTCCTCGAGACCTGATTGTTTCATTTTGATTTTATTTAAAAACTGTAAGCTACGTCACCACCACTCTGCTACATATTTATTTTGATAAACTTGGGGTGAGGGGGGGGGGTAACAATATTTGACATAAGGGCGTCCTTGAAAAAGTTTGAATGTTGTATACAAAGTGGAGTTTGGGGTGGGAGTAGGGTTCAACAAAATTTGTTGACATAATTAAGTTTAAAAAAGACCCCCCCCCCTAATGGCTAGTTTAATATAATTATAATTTACTAAACTACTGAGGTTGTTGACGAGACGGTGGACGGTGACATCATTTTAATTGAGCTTTTAGTGACATCATTTTAATTAAGCTTTTAGTGACATCATTTTAATTAAACTTTTAGTGACATTGAGTTTGACTAACATTCACCAAAAACAAGACATTTTTGTTGTTTGAAAAAAAAGTAATTAAATTTAACTTTTGTGACAACATTTTAATTAAGCTTTTTGTGACATCATTTTAATTAAGCTTTTAGTGACATCATTTTAATTAAGCTTTAGTTGACATCATTTTAATTAAGCTTTTGTTGACATCATTTTAATTAAGCTTTTAGTGACATCATTTTAATTAAGCTTTTTGTGACATCATTTTAATTAAGCTTTTTGTGACATCATTTTTATTAAGCTTTTAGTGACATCATTTTAATTAAGCTTTTTGTGACATCATTTTAATTAAGCTTTTTTGTTGACATCATTTTAATTAAGCTTTTAGTGACATCATTTTAATTAAGCTTTTGTTGACATCATTTTAATTAAGCTTTTAGTGACATCATTTTATTTAAACTTTTTGTGACATCATTTTAATTAAGCTTTTAGTGACATCATTTTAGTTAAGCTTTTGT